AAAAAAAATACAATAAAAGTTTCAATTTTTAAGAAAGTTATGAACAATTCTTAGTTGGTCTCTTTTTTAATACGCATCTAGTTATATTGTGTAATGTGTATCATATAAACTTCTATGTATAGCATTGTGCAACTACATTTTATTTACCTAGGTAATTATTTTAATAAAACCCTTTTAAACTTCATAAATAAATTTCTTGGTTAAATAACACAAATTAAAACGAATATACAAAGATCAATACTTTGTATTAAATACGTAGATTATCAAAATATTATAGTCAATTTGTATGCATAGTAAATTCCTAATTTAAAACCAYTATTATTTTATGAACTGAATTATAAATATCAAATAATATTTTKAACAACACAAACTGTTATAACGATTATTTGTAATTCTTGAATAAACTTCATACATAAACCTATAAATAATATTACTAAAAACGTTAAATTAATTTATTTGCACTTGATGATTGTCAAATGACCTTTATTATGACTGCAAGCTTGCAAACGAAAATGAAAATACAATATTATTGAAAAATAAAGTAGAGAGTGGGAGGCATAAGAATGGGTTGTGTTTACTAGTGCAGTTTAGTGTTTCACTTTCACAGACCCTTAGGTGAGAAGATTAAGTCATTCGTGTTCAAACGTCGCGTCATGAACGTCCTAATCCCACTAGCTTTGTCGGTATTCTGGCTCAATCAAAATTATGCTTGGTTTATAAATCAAAAAAATTCTGAAGGTAAGCAATATCTATTTATATGATTCRTATACAATTGTTTATGTGATATARTTGAACATTATTTAAATTATCAAACCTTTTTTTTTCGWAAATAAAAATAACCATTATTTTTAAATACCTAGTTTTGAATAACTAATTTTTTATTAGCTCGGGGTTTCATAAAAAAAATAGCGGTATAAAATTATATTAGAAGAATTTGGGACAATAGCATATTTTTAATTTTTTAATTTAATAAATGTATACTGTACAGTATATACCATACTAAAAACTTAGACAACAATAACATATTCTAAATAAAGCTATTTTTTTTT